GCAGTGTGGAGCCGGGTGTTGGCGGGGATGATGCCTCGCTGCCCAGGGGCCTCCTTCAGAGGACTGCTGGATCCCGCCTGCAAAACACCCACCCAGTCTGCCGCGGCCACAGGCCTCAAACCAGCGCCACACCGGCGCCACCACTGGGTGCTTCCAAACAAAGGCGCCCCACCCTCTTCATCTGCTCGTGGACTCCTTAGGAATCCCGACCGGGCCTGTGGAAGGGCACCTGTGCCCCTCCTGGTGGCGTACAGTCCATTGTAATCATCACTCCTTTAAACAGTCTCTTGTTCTTAATTCCTACTCCTTTTATTGTTATATTATCCTCTCATTATAGCAAATTCCAATTCAATCCTGCATTTGGGGACCCAGGAGGGGCTTCAGGTCCACCCTCCATTCCCATCCTCCAGTCAATCTCAGTAGTGTTAAGTTTTGCATTGCTTTGTTTTAAACCTAAAATAGACTATTGTTTCGGCCGCCTTTTCACCTACAGACGTTACCACGATGCTTCCACATTCAGTCTGGGACACCTACCATTGTGGGAACCGCTCACGGCCCCCCAGCCCAGGCAGAGGCTCTGCTGGTGACCAGTTAGGTTTCTGCCAGCGGGGCATGTCTCTGAACACTTGCCTGCAGCTCAAAGCCTAGATGTGGGGCTGAAGCCATGTCAGATGGGAGCCTGAGACCGGGCGGACCGGCCACTCCCCCTTTCCTGCGTGCCCATCCTCAGGCCGCCCCAGAGCGCGCACCTTGGTGTTTTCCTCATAGTTCCGCAGCTCTAGCAGCAGGTTCTGCTTCCGCTGGCTGAGCTCCCGGATGAGGTCCTGCTCCACGCTGGTGTCCGAGAGGCTCCCCCGGAGCTCCGCTGTGCCTGGCAGGTAGCCCCGGACTGCACGGAAGGGCCACCATCATCCCCAGGCCCGGGCGCAGCCCAAATGGCCGTCGCCCCCTTCCTGGCCTTTGGAACCCAAAGCCTACGTTCTCATCTCCCCAACCGGTGCAACAATCTCTTACACGGCCCCAGGGCAAACACGTTTTAGTGGTAATTCCTGGCATTTTGGACCCCGATTTACTTTCTCCATCCACTGAGCAGCAGATGAGCTGAGTGTGGCCATCCATCCGGTAGTCCCCCTGGACCACACCAGCTACTGCAGAAGAGAAGTTGTCTTTGAAAATGACCTCGCCGGTGCGGTCACTGCGAGCATCGACCTGAAAAAGAAAACGTCCAGGCGCACATCACCGTCTGCCCTGTAAGGAGACACAGCGAGGCCTCCACCGGCAAAGCCGGGGCGGGATCTGCCGGGTGTTGGCAAAGTCACCGGGTCACGGAAACAGAAATCCGATGGAGAGGGACCCGTCCGGCCAAGAGCCGTGGGTCAGTGGGTGATGCTGCCCTCGCTCAGACGACACCCCATGCTCGTGTCAATGCACTGAAACAGTCCCTTGTGCTTTTCATGCAAAACACCTCCCTCTTACTGCACTGTGCTTGACATTGAGTGCAGTGTTCATTGTGCTTAGATGTTTCAGGAGGTATTTTCACAACTACAGCTGGTAACTTAGTGTTCAAGTCCTGGGAAAATGCACTGGTAAGTGTAACTTTGGGGGCTCAGAACCAACGAGTTGGGTTTCCGTTATTTACCATGGGAAATACGTTCAATGCTTGAACTTTTCGGTGCTCGAACACAACTTGGGATCAGATTGAGTTCAACAACCAAGGTATCGCGGGATCATCTTTATTTATACAGAAAGCTCGGGAATAATCAAATTAGTCCCATCTCCCCCCTACAGCCTCTCTGAAGGACCCTGTGAAGAGCCTCTCGTCCACTGAGAAACTATTCCGACACAGTGGCAAGGGCTCCCTTCTTGCTGAGACACCAGACAAACAACTGACCCATCAGAGACAGATGACCACAGATGGATGACCACTGCAAGTGATTCTGCGTGACTGAAAAAAGACTGGCTGGGAGAAACGTGGACTAGTCCTTTCACTATCTATCTGTTCACAAACGTCCTTCTGGAAAAACAGACACCAAGAAGAAAGGTCACCACGGCCATGTCCTGCCACCACCCCATGTCTGGAATACCCTGAAGCGTCCATGCTATTAGTAAGAACCTCCGTGAGTCTGAAACTCACAGATGCTAAAGCCTCGGCCGGCCTGTGTTTTCCTAGCGCTTTTTTTAGACATGGTCCAGCACCTCTGTTTTTGTGGACTATGTACTTGCAGATGTACACCGCTATGCCACGCGCCCTGAGCACCGAGTCAGAGCCCCTCTGCCTCACCGGGACCTTGGCTCCTGGCAGTGACAGCCGACAGCATGCAAGTCTACAGCCTGGCCCGTGCATGTGCCAACTGAACCGCAGACTCACGTGTCTGTGGCTGCTCTGCTCACCTGCTTTAGCCCACAGGGGCGCTTTGCCCCACGTGGGCGGGTGGCACGCCAACTCCACGGAGGACCAGTTGCTGACCCCCTAAGACGGCATTCATTTTCGAGAAGTAGTCACTTCCAATGTTTTGCACCGACATTCAAAGGAGACCTGAAGATGTTCCTGTCTTGGCGATTTCTGCTGTCAGCGCTCCACGAGTACCGGGCTTCAGGAAGCCCCTGGGGAAAGCCCCTTCACTTCTAATTCCACTTCGCCACAAGCTTTGAAGTCTCCTTGTGGGGAAAGCTAACATTTTCTTATTCCTCGTACAGAGACTACGAGGAGGCACCCCACCCTCCCCTCCGGAAAACAACAATGGAATTGTACTGGATCAAACGTAGTGTACATTTTTCCTGCTAGGTGAGCATCCAGCAGCTCGCTATGAGTCAGTGCGCCCAGTGGTGTATCCTGGGAAGGTTCTCTCTGGTCACAGTGGATTTTTTCGTACAAGCAGTTTCACTTGAACCTCGTGTTTTGTGACGGCTGATGTAAGAGAGCAGTGTGCAGCTGTGAAATTTGGTTTCCTGGTGGGGGAAAATGTCACAGAAACTATTGTGATGTTGAACACAGCTTACAAGGACACTGCTATGGGGGGAAGTGTACAAGCGGTTTTCTCATTTCAAAAAAGGTGAAATGTTGATTGATGACTAACCTCGTTCTGGACGTCCTTCAACTCCCCCAACGGTCAAAAGTGCCGACTCGTCGTGCATTTGGAGTCGGTCCACCAGGTCTGACTGCTAATCAAGCTTTAGAATTAGAGGTTCTGAAAAGATTGCAGAACAGTGTGCTACAAAAAGGTCTGATTTGTGGCAGACTGGAGGACTGGTTTTGCCACCACGACAATGCACCTGCTCACGCAGCCATCTCAGTACGCCAGTTTTTGGCAAAAAAAAACAGCAGGCCTCTCTTGCCCCACCTACCTTGCTCACCTGACCTTGCTCCCTGAGACTCCTTTTTGTTTCCACGAATGAAAAGGGACATGAAAGGACAGTGATTTGACAAAGTAGAAGAGAAGAAAAAAGCGAGGGAGGTGCTGTCAGTCATCCAAACAGATGAGTTTGAAAAACGTTTCACAGAATGAATGGAATTTTTAAAAAAAAGAGAAAATGGAATCGCAGATTTGACAAATGTATTAAGTGTAATGGAGAGTACTTTGTAGGTGATAAGGTTGTTTTATAAAAAAATTTAAATACATAGATTTGAAAAAAATTCCAGTTTGGGGGGGGGGTACCCCTCATGTAAAAGAAAGGCTTTAGGAAACATTTAACCATCTAGGGCCAGAATCATATACAGAGGTAACTCTTCAAAAACATTCTCAACTTGTTTCATTGTTCTCAGCCTAGGGAAGGAAGCCTAGGGGCATAATGAGTTAAGCGCTGGGCTGCTAATGAAAGGTTGCGGTTCAAACCTACAAGCCCCTCCTGGTGAGAAAGATGAGGCTGCTGCTCCTGTACAGATTTACAGTCGTGGAAACCCAGTTCGACTCTGTCCTGTACGGAATAATGAGTCAGAATCAACTCTAATGGCAGTCAGGCTTAGAAAACATTCTCAATGTGTTACCAGGCCAGTAGATTTACAATTCTGGACTCAACCATCATCTTCTCTGTTCCAAAGGGAGCTACGAGGCACTGGCTGAACGTACAGAAGACGGATGGTGAGGGAGGGAGGGAGGGAGGGAGGGAAAAAAGAGGAGCTGATATCTAGGGCTCAAGTCGAAAGAAAATGTTTTCTAACGGATGATGATGGCAACAAATGCACAAATGTGCTTGATAACATTGCCCTCCAGGCAATCCAGATTAACAGAACAGAAACCTGGGCCAGTGCTATCTGTCCACCTCTGCTGGTGACTCCTTCTAACAAGACAAGGGACCATAGGAGATTCTGACTTAACGTTATAAATAAATAATGTTTTATTTTAGAGTTCTACCTAGGAAAACAGTTGTGCTAACAACATCATCCTACTAATTCTGATCTAGTCGGCTTTTGAAGATGTAGTAGAAAAGAGTGACTCAAAGAGTTAATTTTTCAGCTAGTAAATTCTCTCATCATTATCCTTATTATTCTTGTTATTTTCACTGGCCTACAATTAGAATCAACCCAATTAAATGGATTTTCCTTCCTTCAAAGAAAAAAAATGCTGAAGGAATCTTCCTGGATGTGTTTCTGTAATCAGGCCTCATCTGACAATGAAGATACCCATTTATTTTGAAGAGCTTGCAGGGAAAGCAGAAAGAAGTAATGGGGAAGACGGTGCAGTTGCACCCGCGGCTCACGATGCACGTATCTTCACGTTACTGTTAAGAATCATACGACACACACATTTCAAAACAAACTTGCTGCCATCGAGTCAGTTCCGACCCACAAGGACAGGGCTGAGCTGCCCCGGCGGGTTTCTGAGACTACAGATAGAAACCTCATCATTCTCCTTCTGAGCAGCTGGTAATTTCGAACCGCTGACCTTGTGGGTGACAGCCCAGTGTGTAACCACTGTGCCATCAGGGCTCCTTCATACCGATTGGGCAGTCAGCATTTGAATTCTACCTCTTCTCTGCTACTTACACATACCTTCCCATTCGACCAACCAGTTATCAGCTCAGGCACTCCGTCGGAATTCAGGTCAAAAGCATGAATGCTCACGGCATGATTCTTGGACTGAAAAAGAATTCCAATAATGAGCACACGCAGCAAGCATGAGATCTCTGAACGCCACAGGCAGAATCATACTAACTTTGATTCTCCAGTACCGGGCCATTCTGTCGTAAACTCCCACTGTGCCGTTGGAAAGGGCATAGCCAAAGCGACTGCCGTGCATGGGGCAGAGGGAGGTGATGATCTGCAAAGAGAAGAGGGGAAAATACAGCATCTTGCCACGCAGGCGCAATTTAATGCAGAGGACAGCTTGCTAAAGCCACTCCACGTGTGTTAGAATGAGACTCAAGTGCATCTCCACCCACTCGTGGAAAACACACTCCTCTTCGTGCTGATCCACGTCATCCACGTCAGGGCTGGGAAGTCAAGGCTAAATAAACTCAGAAGGTCTGGGGTTTGAGATGAAGATCAAGTGGCAAGTTTCTGCAAACATGGCAATCAGTAAAATGTAGGGAACAAGAAAGAGATTCCTGTTGAAGCGCAAAAATAAACATGTACAAGACACGATCCACACAACCCTGAAGGTTTCCATGGTGCCTCCCGCTCCCACAATGGCCGACGACCTGATTTTCAAAACTAGCACTTGTGATAACGCCAAACTAGACATCTTCTATTTTCTGTCACATAAATGTACTGCTTGCTGGACGTGAGGACTTATTCAGAAGAAAATATTGTCCTCTGAGAAGTGAGGCCCCACTGTAGACGTATGCAACAAGAGACCAAGGTCACTGTCCTGGAGCCGCCTGACTCACAGGGACTCTGCAGGGCAGGGAAGAGCTGCCCCTGCGGGTCCCAGACTCCCTCTGCGTGTGGGAGAAGAAAACCTCATCTTCTCCCACGGACGAGCTGGATTGCAGACTAAACCCCCGGGGCTCCTTGTAGCAAAAGACAGAATACACATACGTAGAGAATACTTATAGGCCTGCTCATGGAATTTCAAAATCTTAAAAAATTTTTTTTTCAAAACTTAGTGCAAAGGAGTCAGTTCGATTCTGACTCAGAGGGACCTTACAGGACAAAGCAGAAATGCTTCTTAAGAGGTTGTCAAGACTGTCAATCTTTATGAAAGCAGACAGCCTCATCCTTCTCCCACAGAGCAGCTAGTGGGTTTGAACTGACAACCTTGTGGTAAGCGGGCCAAACCTTAACCCATTTTGCCACCAGGGCTCATTTTAACACTGTAACAAGGATAAAATGTTCGATACTGAACAAAATTACTCTTTCATGTTAAAAATGAAAGTCCAACAATGTCTCTGATCCTGCAGATATACTTTCTAATTTTCCATCGAATGCAAGAAGTATTCAGGAATAAATCGTATAGAGAATAGTTATGCAATTTCCTTTATACCTACAGCTTTTCTACAAAACCACCCACTTTGTTTAACTCTGGATACAAAGGTGGGTAGAATTCTTGAAGTTTTAGCTCAAGGCCTCTCATGGCAATTCTTCACAGGACAGGAGTCCACTGTCGAGTGAATTCTGATTTTGCTGATCTGGGAAATGACATTTCAGCCAGGAGCAACTCCAAACTGAGAGGATTTGCTGTTTTGTTTTATTTTTGCTTCTGCTGGGTGTCCCGGTGGGCGAAGCACAGGAGTGGACGCACGGGGACAATAACTAAGGCCATGGTTAATGGGGATGTGGAGGGGGTGGGAGAGGGGAGGTTGAGATGGTTTGGGGGCAAACAATGAATGTGGGAGAGGGAAGGGAGCATTCGAACTGATAGTGATGATGTATAAACAACTCTTTTTAAAAGCAATGTACCCATGGAACTGCATGATAAGTACATACTGTATCAAGAAAACCAGTAAAAAAGACCTGCCTTGACCGAAGGTTACCACGGTGAAGGGGAAGAGTTGTTGCTTAGGGGCACGGAGTCGATGCTCATGGTGGTGGAAGCATTTGGACAAGAACGGCAATAACGGTTGTAAAACATGGAGAGAAGATCAATGGTACTGAGTTGGACAATGTTTTGCTGTGTACATATTTTGCCACCATTAGAAAAAAAAATAACAATGAGTACAAGGAAGAAATGTTCTAGAACTGTCGTGATAAGTGTACAATTGTTAATGTGATTGAATTACTGAATTGTGTGACATGTGGATGGAGTGCTAGTGAAACTGTTACAAGAAGAGGAAACAGTCTTGAAAAGGAACAATTATATAAATTTTGCACTGTTATCCGATTCCTAAGGCGATTGGTCTTTCAATAGCCCATTATGGGAAGCCTCCACTTCAGGACATATTTGAATACAATGAATCACATAGACAAAATAAGTGTGTATTTTCAATGTATGTGTTAAAACATATCTGTATGTTGGAATGTTTCCAACCCCAAGAGACAAATAAAGATGGGATTTATCACTAAGAAGAGAAAAAATGGTATTTGACTTGCCTCAGAACTCAAGTATAGTGGAGTGGTAGGAACGGAATCTCATCGTAAATCGGGATTGCCTGCAGCTTCTTTCTTTCCTCTGTGAACTAACTACAGGATCAGCCCAGCTCATGATGATCCCACGTGTGTCCAAGCTTTCAAGGCGACAGCTTGTCAGCTGTAGCTAGACAGCCCGGCCTTTCTTCCGAGGTACCTCTGGGTGAACTCAAACTTTCAGCCTTCGGGTGGGAGCTGAGCAGCTTAACCAACTGTGCTACCGGATCAACAGTCACCGCCCATGCCCAACTCCATCCATCACATGTGCCTCTGGGGACAGATGTCTCAAAGACGGGGCCTTCTCACTCAATATGAACCGTAACAAGAAAGCCAACAGAACTGAAATCAGCTCCTGCTAATGGAAGAAGACTGACCGCAGGTGGAACGACACGAACACACAGGACACAGGCCTGCAGAGCTCTGAGTCACCGAGCTCTTTGAGGGGCTGGAGGCCGTAACCTCCTTGAAGAGTCTAGCAGAAGCACACCCCTGAGCATATCCACATGAAACCGAAGGCCCCGGACAGACACACATCCACTACCTGATGGCTTCACCTTTTGTTTCCCCCTTTCCTCTCTACCCTATGCATAACTATCATTTCACAACGATAAGAACTGTATAAAAATCGGTGACTCTCATCATATAACTAAAAAACCCCAAACCCACTGCCACAGCGTCCATTCTGACTCTAGCGATCCTGTAGGCCAGAGCTGAACCGTTCCTTGGAGCCTTGTCTCCCACGGAGTGGGGGTAGACTGGAACCACCGACCTTAAGGCTGGCACTCCAACGCTTAACCCGCTGTGTCTCCAGGCCCCCTCCCTACAGATAACAAGAGTATAGTTAAAATCATTGACAACACTTGGCACTATGCAAACAATATGCAAATTCTGCTTTCTGTACATGTTCTGGGGACAGAAGCCTGGCTTTCCTAGAGAGGCAAGCAACTGAAGGAAGGGTCAAGGCTCTGTGGCTCTCACACCGACTCCCAAGCCCCACCAGACACCGTCCCAGGGCAGGAAGGCTCCCTTCTGCCAGCCTTTTCCATCCACTGACAGCACCCACAAGTCACTCTCCTCTCCCTCTTCTCCCTCTTCAGCCGAGCCTCCCAATTCTGTTCCCTGTTGAAATCTTGCCCTGGATACTATCAACAAATACCCCGCAAATGTCGACGTTACCGTGAGATAAAACTACCATTAGCTAATACCTAAAAACAAAAAGTGCAGAGTTTAAACTCAGGTTCAATTATATGAGGAACTCCAAGTAGGAGTGTGTGTGCACGCACACACACACACACACACACACACACACACAGAGCAAGTTCTCAAATACCTATCTTCTAAGTTTGCCTACACAAATGTGCATTAGGCTTTTTTTTTTTTTTGCATTAGAAGTACCTTAATGCAATAGTAAAGTGTGGTGAAAAAAATCAGTTGGTGCCCACATATCAGTAGAATAAAGTCTGGGGTCTTATACTTGTCTTTAGTCAAGCAGCCTAAGTGAGGAATCAACTAAATCCACACCCAGATGAGGGAATGGTATTAGAGCTTAAATTTGAACGCTTGGTTCGCAGAAGGCGATGGATGACAGTGGAAGCCCGATATCCCCACGCGGATGAAGCCTCCGGTGAGTTCCCTCTGACCACAGGCCAGGGGGGTGAACAGCCTCGCCATCAGACAGAGAACATTGCAAAGGCAACTGTGGGAGATCTGGTTACATTAAAAAGTGTAGCACCTGCTCATTTGATCTCCCCTTCGACACATTTTAAATTTGTTCAGGTTTTGAACATCTTCTACTTTCTCCTTGAGGTTTTTGTTTTATTTTGTCACTTTCGTTGGAGGTTTTGTTTTGTTTCTTGTTTTTATCTTGTGTTTTTCCTGCATATGAAATCCAGGATACTAATAAAATGATTTTTTTAAAAACTGCTGAAATTAAGGTTAAAGAAAAAAAGAAAAAAGAAATCCAGGATAGGTAAATAACTAATTTATAATTAATTAATAAGTATCTTAATTAACAGTAGCTTAGTTAATAATTGCCTAGGGGCATGGCAGGGGAGGTTGTGGGAAAAGAGGAGCTACCAACAGTGACTACAAGAACGAAGAACTGTTTGAAACTGACTGTGGTGATGATTGCACAACTCATCTTAATATGACTGAACTATTCAATTGTGTGATACGCGAATTATATGCCAATAAAAGTACTTTTAAGACAAAGTACCTTGATCTGAACAAAGAGGAAAAAGGTGTCAAATTTCATTTATGTAGGTCACTCCCATTTAATGTACAGGAGGAGGAAGAGGAGGAGGAGGAGGAGGCACCAAGGCTCACATCCCGCCGTGCCACTTCATGGCAGCTGTGTGACCTCAGGCAAATGACCTAAAGCCTGACGCCTCGTCTGTGAAACCGGTAATAATGAGACTATCTTCCCAACTGGGCTCGATAAAAGATTACATGAGTTCATTAACATTAATGCAAAGCATTTAGAGCACTGCCTGGCTTATGCTAGGTGCACCACCAAGCGTTGCCATAATATTGCTATTTACCAACTGTCTGCTGACTCACAGACACCCCTAGTGGGCTTCCGAGTAGAAAGCTCAGTCTTTCTCCCAAGGAGCTACTGGTGGTTTTGAACCGCCGACCATGCAGATTGCAGTCCAACATGTAACCCCTACACCACCAGGGCTCCTTATCCACTCATTAAAGAAAATGTCTTTATATGTACAATTATACACACTAATTTTTATCTGTTTAATCAGTCTTAAAAAAATTTGTTCTTTTTAAAAATCATTTTATTGAGGGCTTGTATAACTCTTATCACAATCCACATACACATCCATTGTGTCGAGCACATTTGTATATTTGTTGCTATTAATATTCTCAAAACATTTTCTTCCTACTTGAGCCCCTGGTATCAGCTCACTTTTTCCCCTCCCTCCCCGCTACCCCTCCCTCATGAACCCTTGATAATTTATAAATTATTATTTTGTCATGTCTTTACACTGTCCGATGTCTCCCTTCACCCCCAGGGAGGGGGTTATATGTAGATCATTGTGATCAATTCCCCCTTTCTCCCCAACCTTCCCCTGCCCCTCCTGGTATCTCTACTCTCATTATTGGTCTTGAGGGTCAAAAAAACACCTTACTACACATCCTAAAAAGTGCTTCTCTGTAAGGAGTATCTGCAGTTTGAGGCGTCGCTTTTATTATGTTATCATTATTGTTTTTTACTCATTTTATTGGGAGCTCTTACTGACATCATAACATTTCACAGTTCAATCACATCAAGCAGTGTTGTACTATTGCTACAACAATCAGCTACAAACCTTTTTCTTTCTTCTTGAACCCCTTGATATCAGCTCCCCTTTGTCCCCTCCCTCCCCCACCAGACCCCTTAGGAACCTTTATTCTTTATTTTTCTATAGTCTTTTTTTTGCCCTATCTTACACAATCCAATAGATGCATTCACATACCATTCTGTCGTCCGTCCCATCACGCGGGGTTATACAGCCATCGATGCTTTAAGCTCCCGTTCCCCCCCTTCCCACTCCCTCTCTTCCTGTACCCTCAGGGAACCATTACTCCTGTTACTGTTTCTGAAGGGTTATCTATCTTGACTTTCGTGTACCAAATGGTCTTAAATATACAACTGAAAATACTCAAATCTAACACGATTAATGAGGTAAAAAAAAAACAAAAAAACTTAATAGTAAGGGGAGGAAATATTCGAGAACTAGAGGATAGTTATGTGGTTCATTAGTACCATAACAGCACCCTGGATTTATCATCCCTTTGCTGTGGCCCTTCTGTGCGGGACTGTCCCGTTATTCCACAGGTGGGTTTTGGGTCCCCACTATATCCACTGAGGCATCTCTTTTATATGGCCTTTCTGGCCACCATCAAGTAACTTCCACTAAATGAATGGGTGGGGCTATGCCAATAAGGTGCTTGTGGAAGACAGAGGGGATTGGGCAGTTTGCTAATAATGCAAATAAGGCACATGGAACCTTGGTGAAGGTGAGGCTATGCAAACAAAGTGTATACAACTGCAACAAAGCAAGCCATCAGTTTTGCCATAATGGGAGGCTTAAAAGGAGCCATCCCAGAGGTGGGAAGAGGAGTCCTGACTAGCACCAAGAAGAGCTAGGAAGGGGACATGCCCCTTGGACCCGAGGTTCCTGGACCCAGGGGATGGACTATAGCACCAGAGACCAGGAGAGATGGTCAGTAGTGCGGCAACACAACAAGGAGACCGGCAGAGAAGGGCATGGGGGCCTCCCAGTCCCCTGAGCAAGAACGCCGTGGGCCTTCAGGCTGAGGCTTCTGAAGGGGCGGTAGTACTTTCCGGTGGAACAAAGACCACTGTGACACGTGCCCAAGCAGAGCAGAGGCTGGGCCAGAGGGCCGAGGACCAGAGGCCAAGGAAAGTCTGCCCTGACTGAACATCTGTACACTGAGTCTTTCCTGACCCCGGAGGGGAACCTGCTACTTCTCTAAGAAGCCCCATCAGCGTGCGTAGGGTCTGTGTTTCATGTGGCCACTGCAATGGACTACTGGACCCAGCAGGAGAGCAGGAAGAGCCTTGGGGAGGTCAGCGGTATCAGCAATGGGACAAAGACTGGTGAGAAGCCTTGGTCAGAGCTCCGCCTCACCGGGACCAGCCTGGGCCGGAGCCGCAGTCGGGCGCCTCTGCCGGGCCACGTTCGCGGGAATTTTATCCTGAAACTGCCTGCCGGTGAGAAAACGGCCCAGCGCTGACACTGGAGGGTGCACCCACCTGCCCACAGCTAGCAACATCCTGAGGTGGCGCGTCTTACCTCTGTTTCTGTCATTTCTGCCACAATCTCATCTTCTTTAAAAACTCTGATATCAAAGTCCTCAGATCCAACAAGGAGCTGAGGGGGAAATCACGCAAATGCAGTTCAGTATACGAGTACATGAGCAAAACAATCAATAAATCCAAAAATGATAGTTTTTTCCCCTAAATCTTTTTATTGGGAGCTCTTACAGATATTATAACAATTTATAATTCAAGTACATCAAGTATAATTGTATAATTGCTGCCACCATCATTTTCAAAACATTTTCTTTCTTCTTGAACTCTTTAAAAATCAGCTTCCCTTTACCCCCTTCCTCCCCTCCCCACCAGGAACCCCTATTATTACATTATGTATCATTTACTTATTTATCGCGGTAGCTTACACCATCTAATGTATCCGTTCACCTACAATTCCGTTTTTGTTCCCCTCCAGTGGGGTTATACAGTCATCGTTGCCACCAGTTCCCCCTTCTCCCCTTTGCTTCCTGTAACCTCTGGGAATCATCGCTCCCATTACAGTTTTTTTTAAATACTTTTATTGGGGGCTCTTACATGTCTTATCACAATCCATACATTCCTCCAATTGTCAAGCACATTTGCACATACGGCGCCATCATCATTTTCAAAGCATTCTCTTCCCACTTGAGCCCCTGATATCAGCTCCCCATTTCTTCCCCCTCCC